CATAACTTGACTGATATGGCAGAAATTATTGGTTACCTCACTGAACACATTTTCTAATTCTCCTTTGATATAATAGTTACCCATTGCTGTGTAACAAATTGCCATAAACACTGTGACTTAAAACAACACACATTTGTTGTCCTACAAGTTTGGTAGATCAGGAGTCTGGTTATGACTTAGCTGGATCTTTTGTTTAGAGTCTCACAAAGCTGCAGTTAAGGTGTTATCTGGGCTGCATTCTTATCTGGAGACTTGACTGGGGAAGAACCTACGTGTAATGTTACTCAAGTTGCCAGGAGAGTTTGTTTCCTTGCGGTGGTAGGACTGAGAATCTTGGCTTCTTGCTAGCTCAGCTCTGTAGAGGCCATTCTCAGCTCCTTGGCATGCGGGTCTCCCAACTCGTCTTTCTTTAGAGCCAGCTAGGGAGAGAGAGTCTCTGGAATGAGCCTTAGCAAGACAGAATTGTGTATGATGCAACATAATCATGGAAGTGACGTTTCATCATTTTTGCCATATTCTATTGGCTAGAAGCAACTCACAGCTCCCACCCACACTGAGGGAGAAGGAATTGAGCAAGAGTGTTAAAGCCAAAAAGTGGGGGATCACTCTAGAGTCTGTTTGTGATAGTTGACCTCAGTTCTTTTGTGGGGGAGGCAGTCCTCTGTGTGCCTAGTTCTTGATCATGGTCGATCTAAGCTAACTGTGATTCCACTCTGTTTCCTGCTTTTCTAATCTCCCTTCCTGTGAGGAGTGGTCATATGCACCAGGTGTAGCAATAGCAACTAAGCAAAATCTCCTGGGAGTTTCTGGGAAATCTTTTGGGCTCTCCTGATAAACAGGAATGATTACAGGTAATACCACTCTTTCTCCTTTTTAAGTCTCAAATGCATATATGGATGTACAACAGCCCAGGGCCACGAGGGGGAGGCCAAGAGAATCATAGAGAAATCAGCCTGAGACTAGTAATGCCAATGGCTGGACTCCTTGGTATGTCAGAATAATACATTTTCATTTATTTAAGCTATGTACCATGTTTTGTGTCACTTGCTGCCCAAAGCATTCCTAACTAATGCAGTTGGGCTGTGGTTTTTCTCCCCTCAGCACTGGGTAATTATGTTTCTGACTAAAGTAACCAATACTGAAGATACCTGCTAAGGCTGGGGTCTCTGTTCTCTGCCTGAGAATTTTGGTGTGTGACCTTGGCCCTGGTTATAGTTGGTTGCACCTAGAATGCACTTGTGACCAATGCTGGGCCAATCAGAATTTCTTTAGCACTTAAACTGTGAGACACAAGAGAAAGGTGTTGGGAGCTGAGTCACATTCATTCCAGAGCCTTGAAATACAGGTTTGTGAACTTCTGTGGCTAAGGTCCTGGAGCTAAGTTCCAACCCTCTCTGAGGGTTGCCTGTTCAGTTATTCTTTGGATTCTATGAAAGACATGTGTATGAACTGAGCTGCACTGTGCCTTGTTTTTCAGAGAATACTGGGTGTCCCTACGGGGCTGGAGCATAAGAGCTGTGTGTACGTATGTGTGAGTGAGTGTGTAGGATGTAGTGGTGGGTGGATGAGGGGTGTAGTGGAAAGGAACTGGGAAAGGCCATATTCTGGAAGACTTTGCACACAAGGCTAAGGTTCTTGACATTATTTTACACGTAACAAAGAAATATAAGAGTATTTTATGCACACATGTAATTGGAGTGAGGGGTATGTGGACTAACTTACAAGCTTCTAAATCGTTCAGAAAATAAATAACAAATGATTTAACTGGGTGTGGGGAGCGGTAGAAATAGAAAAGAGTACCAACTCTCAAGAGCTAATTGTTAATTTTTTAAGAATTTGGTGAGCTAAATGTTAAACTTTTGGTAGTTTAAAGTTGGTCATAGTGGGAATATTTATACTACAGAAACTGGCAAACACTACAAATTAGGGCCTTAAAAAATTTCATCTTTTTGATGTCGTTTTACTAGCACGCCACCAAGAAAGGTTTCAGAGAGACATTTGGGTGGAACTGATGATTGGTTGGGGTTGAAAAATGGTTCAGATGGTTCTGACGCTTCTTATCTGAGGTTGTGACTCTGGGTGACTTGGAGGATAAGGATGTTGTTAGTCAATAGTGGAAACATCAAGGGGGAGACTAAGTTTTGGGGAAAAGGTGATAAATGTGATTAGCTACATGAATTTGGGCTATAGCACAACATGGATGTGTCTTATCCAAAACCAAAACTGATGCCTCTGTTAGATGCTCGGATCTGCCAGACCTGGTGTGTAGATTTGCAATCAGCTGTGTAGAGATGGTGATTGAAGCTTTATGAGTGGATACATTTTTCCAAGGAAGACGATCAGAGTGAGAGAATGGGGCAACACCTACATTCAAGAAGCAGGCAGGAGAAGGCAAATCTGAGAAGTCAAGAGCCATCTGTCTGTAGAACAGAAGCATGTCCTAATTTTCAGGTCCTCATTCTAGTGTTTCTATTTGTTTGGTCTTTTGATCTTCTTTTGGATTTTAGGTTCCAGGGAAATTGCTTATACCAGTGACCTCAACCCTATTTATTCCTTTTTTTGTATTATATATATAAAATGTTCCCTCCTCTACTTTGCGATGTAGTTTATAAACACTATAGCCTCCCTGCACACTTCATTACAAATCCATATGATGCCCTGATAGCGAGAGGAAGGAGTAATAAAAAAAAATCCATAAACAAGTAATATGTTTACCCATATGTACACATTTGGGCACAACTATGTTAAAAGAGACAATGAAGTCATCAGATACCTGTATCTACTTGGAATCATGGCATACGTGACGGCTGCAAATGCAAACTGACAAAAGTGTGCTATGCCAGTGACTTGTACCTGCCATGGCCATGCTGTTGGTGACGTGGATTCCCACAACAGTAAATCACTCTTGGCAAAATTTTGAACGCAAAAAAGGAAGACAAGCGTCTCTTGATTTATACAGTGGTTATATTTCTGGACAATTCAGCATACAGTCATACTATGCTGATGCCTGTATATAAAATGGACTTAGGTTCTAGGCAAGAAAGTTATAAACAGAATTTTTTAACGACAAATGTCTTTGGGCTGCACAAAAGTTGCTGGACAATTCATTGTATAGGACCATTCTGTTTATTGCAGAATATGTCACATGGGGAATACTGTACACTAAGTATAGGAAATATAACCACTGAAAGACCATACCAGTCTCCAAGATGCCCCGCAGAGGGCAGTTCCATCTCTAGTGAGAACTCTGGTTCTACTCAGTGCTCAGTGGTTTGGTAAAAAGGCAGCAGCACCAAGACCAGGTGGCATTAACCACTGTGTGTGGACACCTCCCGATTTTGGGGGAATTTAGGGTAATTGGATCTGCGAGTCAGCTGGCCAAGAAGAATAGACCAAGGATCCTAGCTGGGAAGGCGATTTGCTCCTCCAAAAGTCAGCTTTGGTATCGACCTCGAGAACTTGGTCTAAAAAACATTCTTTAAGAGGGGCAGATAATAGCTCAGTGGTAGAGCGTATGCTTAGCATGCATGAGGTCCTGGTTTCTATCCCCAGGACCTCCACTAGTAAAAAAGATATTAAAAAACTCAGCCATAAAAAAGAATAAAATAATGCCATTTGCAGCACTGTGGATGGACCTGAAGACTGTCGTTCAAAGCGAAGTGGGCCGGAAAGAGAAAGAAAAATGCCATGTGACATCATTTATATGAGGGACCTAAAAAAAAATAATAATAATAATAATAAT